TCTCTGTTATGGTAGCTTCAAGGTCAATCTTCCTGCGGACCGCATGACCTGCGTGCAGCGTCCTTGCGGGCTCCTGTAGACCCCCCCCATGTGGTGGCAAGGTGCGTGTTATCATTGGCTTTGGGGTTTATTGCGGGTTCATGTTGCAGATGGTGCAGGGCTTTGAATGGCGATGTATTCCACACTTTTGGGGTGTAGGATTGCTACGGTTCAAGGTTGCAACGGGGGGGGGGAGGGGGGGGCAGGAGGAGGGCATGGATGCTTGATGTTCGGGAAGTAGGACTCCTTTTGAGGAACCATATAGGAAAACTCACCTGTCATATCACCTCAGTTCAGAACAACCCTGAGAAAGCGAAACCCCAAACCTGGACAGTACAGCGTGGCCTGAGGCGGTTTCATCTGCTCTGGCGCGAGGCCTGAGATAAGGGGATGTGGCTTAGGCTTAGGGGTTCGGGTTTATACGGTGAAGGGATGCTTATGGGGGTTTGAGGTGCTTGGCGGTTCATGGGCTGTGCGAAGTCGGGTTGTAAGTACCCGGAACATGAGACTCTCAGTTGCGTAACTATAGCCACCTTCCTCACGACCCGATTTTTCATAAACCTCCAAGTAGCCCTTGCAGGTGCATAAGCGATCACAGGTGCCTCTGGCTCGCCTCAGGACTAAGTGGTACCAAGCTCTTGGCGACTGTCGGCGCAAAGCGACGAAACGTGCACGAGGAACTCGGCCTCGCCACAGGGGCTGGGTAGAGCCTGAATGGGGATGGGCGTATGGAACACGTTTGTCCAGGCCCTGACTCCCTCTGATATTCCCCCGTCATTCCCTGAACACACACACACACAAAACAACAAACAGAAAACGAGGATTTGAGGGTATGTTGCATGTGAAATACGGGACTTTCAGGAAATACGACGCCTGACAGGTTAGACAGAGCTGCGGGGACGAGTGCTTTTTGCGAGGCACCGAGTCTACTGCGCTGGTCAGTAACAGTGAGCGTGCAAGTGCGCAAGTGCTGAATACAAAATGCAGGCTGGCATACAGTGACAAGAGCATTCAATAGCAGTTACGACCGAGATTTCTGCTTTCAGTCGGCCGCAACCACGTATGGATGCAGTCTTCTTGAAAAATGGCGGGCGCGGCGAAGCCGCTGCACAAGCAGCAAACTCTGTGCATGCGGATGGCTGCTCTGGCCAGTCGCCAGCACTGCGAACAGCGAACATGGACGTTATCATGGTGAAGGTATGGCAAACAGGTACCCTCCCTGGGCACTCGACGCACGCGGAGAGAAGTCCGAAGCCTCAAGCTCCCTACTCTTCTTATCATGTTCGAAACGGAACTGAGAACCCAACATGGAATACAGAAAGGATACCACAGGGCTTCCCAGCCCCAACTGCTGCACACCTACAACCCCTAAACTCCAAAACCCTAAACCCATCCCCCAACAGCCCTGAGCCCCCAAACCCGGTGGTCCTGGCAGCTTATGGGCTCGAGAAGCTTCTCGATGAACGCATTCGGCGCCTCGTCGAGGGTCTCAGGGCTTCGGGTTCTGCCTTTGGGTTCTCAGGAGGTTTAGGGGTTTAGGGGTTTAGTTTTACGCTCCGGTACCGGGCCCATCGAGGGTGCAGTGTGCAGTCGGGCAAATCATGGGTAACAAGATGTGCATGAGCAGCGCAGCCAGACAACTTGAGAAGCTTTGACCTCGGGGTTCTGTGCGTTCTTGACCATGGACGGGAGGCAGGAAACCCTAAACCCGGCAAATACTGGTGAATGCACAGGGTGTTGTGGGACTTGCAAGAAAGCAGTCCGTATACAAAACTTCCTGAAGCGCCAGAACCCCTTTCTGAGCTCAGTTCACTTGGTGCCCCGGCGTTGCTGCACAACACCCCGTCTCGGAAAGCTGACTCCAAGGGAACCACCGCGATGGCCTTGGGCCACCCACGATTTCAGCGTCACAAGGTACGGTCAAGTTGTTCAAATTGCCAAGGTATCACTGGCTGCTCTTCTGTTGCTTCAGGGTGTGAGGTTCAGGCCTCATACCCAGAACCTTTTCTTGGGACAGCCATCCACCCCAAACCAAAGCCGCTGCAATTCACCCAAAGACCAGAAGTCACGGTGAAGTCAGCTTTTCGGAAGAAACCCAGGGTTTGGGGCTCTCGCCTCCTCATCGACCTTCATCCCGGGAATGCTTCCCAGAATTGGATCCTGCTCCTGCAGGGTTGGGATTCTGCTTCAAGATTGGCGCTGGTAGCGTCTAGGAGCCCCGGCACTTTAACCCACCTCAAAGCTCGTGACCTCGCGCCTCGCGCCTCGCGGATTTAGGGAAGTTTGGCTTATTTACGGACGGGGTTTGGGTATCACGGGTCATGCGGGAACTGCGGGAAGATTAGTGGCCGCACTTCCAGTTGGACCAGGTCTGGGTGAATCCAATACACAACATGCCCCTTCGAGGGCCAAGGCGCCTGCACTATGAACCCTATAAGCCCTAGAAACCCGGTAAACCCGATGAACCCCATGAACGCTGTAAACCCCACAGATCCTATAAACCCTGTCAACCGTAGAAACCCTTTCCATTAACCCTAGTTAACCCTATAAAGGCCCTAAGCTCGGACCCCAGCATGAAACTTCAAAAACTTTGCTGTCCCAGGGATCCATCCTAGCCGAACGGTGTCCTGCTCGCTCAGCCACTGCACCTAGGGATCGGAGGGGATGGGAATGAACCCTGACCTCAAAAGGGCTGGCCAAGGACTTGTGCGGTAATGGCCACATGTCGACACAAGACATCTGACCTCCCCGGAGACCTACCAGCGCCCTTTGCGCGAAACCCCAGCTTCAACTTGGGCTGGAGCACGGAAAAAGCCACCTCTGCCCTGAAATAAGCTCCCCACCCCAGCCAGCCCAAAGAGCTGAACCCTGTGAAGGACAGAAACATTGCACCCCGAACCACAAAACTGCCCGGGCATCCCCACCAGCAGGGTCCCATTCTTCGGGAAGGCGTCCAAGACGTGCGCCCTGGATCCGGAGAAACAACGGCTAAAAGCGCCCAACACTGAACCCCCGACAGCCTAGAACCTAAACCCCGTAACCTGCAAAAACTGCATGATCTAAGCCCCCACGACCGCTATTCTGGGTAGGGCTGAAAATGTGAAGTCACTTCTGTTCCAAGATCTGCGAGCATGCGCCCGAAGAAAGACCCTGGAATAGGAGTTCAAAGGTACGCGGAGTCGAAATACCAGAGGGCTGGAGATGTCAGTCACTGAACAGGGCTTGGGGGTTTAGGGGCTCAGAAGATCTGGGAGCTGTCAGAAATTCAGAGATTCAAGGCTCTTTCTTGGGGGTTTGGACTCTTGAAGGTTGCGCGAAGCATTATGTGAGGGCACGAAAGGGCGGTGCTAGACAATCGTTGATTGCAGAAGTTCAGGAAAAAGACGATGGCACGGAGACTCATCTAGCATCAGCAAAACGGATACTCGAGGAAAACAAGAAGCCCCAACACCCCAATGCGATGTCTTGAGGAACAATAAAGAAATTTCAATCGCTTGACACTGTCGGGTCCTGAGCAGCCGCAGCGATGTCGATTGCTCCGTCATAGCCTTCACCGGCCGCTAGTTTAAGGCAAGTGTAATTATGGCTGAATCGGTTTAGCCTTCAAGGCTTTCATGGGTTAAACTAGGGTCTGGGGTTTAGGGCTCCAGGGACGGATTCAAGCCGAGGACGTGGCGAAGCCGAACTGCAAAGCCCTTCAAGGAAAGCGCTACCCTTGTGTGTGCCCAAACCCTAAACACTAAAGGTTATGCGAACTTTACGCCCCACCTTTGCCCAGGCGGCCTCCGAATCCCACCCCGAAGCTTGAACCCGCAAGAGATCATCCGGCCTGCGCCATTGCTGTCTGGAACTCCTCTGAGGAGCCTCGCAATGAACCAGCTGTCTCCGCAAGCGGACTCTGGCAAGAGCAACCTTGAAGAGTTCTGAGCCCTTATCTCGAAACGGCTTTACACCATCAAGCCTCCATGACGCAGCACCTACTTCTGGGACGGTTTAGGACTCTCGCGCTGTAGCAGGTGACAAGTGGGACCGACCCTCGGGAATCTCAGTTCGGAGGGCAAGGAGGTGTTGATGGATGCAGGCTTGAGGGGTCAACCCGGTAAACCCCTAAAAAAGCCTAAGCCCTAAACTCTAACCCCTAAACACTGAACCCTACACTCTGAAGCATAAAACCTAAACCCTACACCCAAGCACTGAAGTCCGTGTCCCTGGCTGTCATGAGCTCCCCAGGGCATCCGACTGAGGGGGCGGATGTACATCTCTGGGCACTGATTGCTAGTGACTACAGCATGGAGCCTTTTTTAAACACAAGATGTTACACAAGGCATTCTATGCTGAAAGTACCGGAACATACCTTGCAAGGAGCTGCTCGGGTTCAAGGATGAAGACGTAAGGGTTTAGGAAGGCTAAGGGCTTGGGCGATTGAGAGCTGAAGACGTGGGGCTTCGGAGGCGAAGATGAGGGCAGGCATGGGGGGGTGGGTTAGCCAAAAGTACAAGAGAGGTACAGGATTGCCGCCAGAAGAAGCCAGAAGTCAAGCAGGGGCCCCAACTTCCGCCCAAACCGCGAACTAACCCTAGAGACCAGCCTCAAGCCCCGAACCCTAAACCCTAAACCCTAAACCCTAAACCCTAAACCCTAAACCCTAAACCCTAAACCCTAGACCCTAGACCCTAAACCCTAAACCCTGCTGCACCCGCCCAGGCCCCCCCCCCCAAAGGGCATCCTGCACTTCGTGGCCTGGGCTCGACGCTCGTAGACTTCACCCAAAGCTTCACCTCGGCGACTCGCAGCTTGTGAGGGGTTCAGGAGGGTTCAGGGTTGGGGCTAGGGTTGAGGGGTTAGGGTTTAAGGTTCAGGGTTCAGGGTTTCAGGGTTCAGAGTTCAGGGTTGAGGGTTGAGGATTGAGGGTTGAGGGTTGAGGGTTGAGGGTTTAGGGTTTAGGGCTTAGGGTTTAGGGTTTAGTCAACTCCATAAACCTTCTGGATGTTACATAACGAGAAGAGGTCCAACAACAAATCGGGCAGACGTATTTTGTTGACAGTTGAAATCAAAAAGTCTTCGAAACAGTCTTTAAGAAAGAGCCGCGCCAGAGCCAAGGAATCTAGAGCAAATCGATAACATGAGGTGTGGCAAGGGGAAGAAGGAGTCTGCTGAACTCTTTTGACGCTTGGACGTCCAAAGCCCTCAAAACCATTATCCACCAAGCGACGTCCACAGCATCGCCAGTCTGGCACATGGACTTCCTGGTTTGAAAGTCCTCTGGGCATCGAGACAGTTCGCTTGAGGTGAACTTGCTAACTTTCGGGGTCTATAGGGTCCCGAAAAGCTCACAAAGTACCCAAGAGCCTGCGATTTAGAGTAGACGGGGTGGGGGGTTGGAACGCCTATGATTCAGGGATGAGCAGGTCTGCTGCGGGCTTCCTACATGCTCTTTGGCCCAAACCGTTGAACCCTGAAAAAGGGCTTGGGCCCTTGTCATTGTAAGCAAATAGACCAAACGAAAATTCTGGCTGCGTTACATATTAGTATTTGATCATTGCTCGCATCAGTGTCACGATCGTCTTCATCGCAATCGTCGTTGTCATTGTCGGCGTCGTTTGGTTGCTGCTCTTTGTGTCTTTGTCCATGCGATGACTCGTGTTCTTCTTCTTGTTGTTCTTCTTCTGCTTCTTCTTCTCATTCTTCTTCTCCTTCTTCTTCTTCGGTAGCGAGGGGTAGCGGTAGTAAAGAAACATTCCCCTCCCCCGTACCCTTTACCACCCCTACTCCCCCAGCCCCCCCCCCCCCCCCCTTCTGCCCCTCATGGTGTGTGAGAAGGCAGGCGGCTTTCAGGCTGGGCTAGTACCTGCGACACCGCCGCCCTTGCAATTACTCTTGTCGTCCCAGTCTTTTCTTGTCTGCATCTATGCCATGGGTCTTGAAACGCGAAACCCTAAAATTGAGAGGGGGGGGGGCTTTACGGCCTCATTGCAGTGAAAGACGACGGTGGACTGAATCGGCTTTGACAGGACCAGGCCTTAGCTCGAGTCACACCTACAAAGGGTTTGGGGACTACGTCTTCTTGGGTTTTGGTTTAGGATTTAGGGTTATAGGGTTTAGGGTGTAGGGCTATAGAGCGGGAATTTGGAGGCAGATAAGCATATCCAACGAAAGCGGGAGGCAAGGGTATCTAAGTTTGGGGAGACGGGGCTCGCCTAGGAGCAGATGATAGTTCGGGGGCGGTCGGAGGTGGTGTTTGCAAGACTAATAGAAACCCTAAACCCTAAACCCTGAACCCTGGACCCTCGACCCGTAGGTCTGACGCGGTAAGGTTCCGGACGGGCGGATATCTTATTTGAAGCATCCAGTGTGTGTGAAACACAGGAAGCAACAAAAAGGAGAAAAGCTGACACCAGAATCACCTGAAATACTGCAACTTCTTTGCAGCTACGTAACCATGCTGACGGTCGGACACAGTCAAAGCACGCTAATTAAGGCCAAGGTCGTCAGTCTTTTGATCTCGCCTCAGACTAAGCCCGGAACCCTCGCCACCATCCTTCGACATGCGCACACGGCTCTTCAAGTGGCGGGACCTTGCGGGTGTGCACGCGAACTCTCCCAACACAATGCTTGTGTTTAGAAATCTGCCAGGGGTGGAAGGTGTATTTGAGGGCTCTTTCGGTGGAAGAGCCAGAGACAGAAATCTGGGAGATAGATTAAGTTATGCTTCTGCATGCCGGGGGTTAAAGGGTTTAAGGGTTTGGGGAAGGGGGGGGGGAACCCTACACCCCAACCGCTGCCCCACACTCTGAGAATCTCGCAGCGTTGCGCCTTGCTCCTCAGCTTTGCGATCTCGCGAGCCCGAGAAAGGAAGGGCGAAAGCTTCAGGGTTTAGAGATTTGGGGGGGGTTCGGTTTAGGGCTGAAGGATCGGATTTTGCGCATCCAGTCCGACTCACTCCTACAGATTCTCGGGGGCTCCTCACGAACCCTAGCAGGTTCGCGTCTCCGAAGTGCCCTAAACGAACCCTAAACCCTACACCCTAAATCGCCTGGAACATTGAAGTCGGACACATTGTAAACCAGACGTTTAGGGGCCTGAGACGTCAACACCCCAAGGACCCCAATATCCACCCTGGCACTCTTGGCTTAGGATTTGTTTAGGGCTCACGGTGTTGGGCTCAGTCTCTAGATCAATGAACCCCACAACGCAACACGACTCGAGTCCCATCGCACAAAACACATATCCAAATGAAACAACTGATTCGGGGGGAAGAGAAGCTGTGCGAAGCACATGCGGTGCAAGTACCCTTGCCATAACATCACGTGTCGGCAGAGGGGGTCGTGACTTTGTCCCAAAACCCTAAACCCTAAACCATAAACCCTAAACCCTGAACCGGAAGTCTGCCAGACCTGAGCTTCTTTATCCTCAAGCACCTGAGGGCTGCACAGCCAAGACGAAGACCGTTGGAATGCGAGGCCTGGGTTGGTTTAGGGGTTTAGAGGGTTTAGAGGGTTTAGATGGTTTAGAGGGTTTAGAGGGTTTAGAGGGTTTAGAGGGTTTAGAGGGTTTAGAGGGTTTAGAGGGTTTAGAGGGTTTAGAGGGTTTAGAGGGTTTAGAGGGTTTAGAGGGTTTAGAGGGTTTAGAGGGTTTAGAGGGTTTAGAGGGTTAGAGGGTTTAGAGGGTTTAGAGGGTTTAGAGGGTTTAGAGGGTTTAGAGGGTTTAGAGGGTTTAGAGGGTTTAGAGGGTTTAGAGGGTTTAGAGGGTTTAGAGGGTTTAGAGGGTTTAGAGGGTTTAGAGGGTTTAGAGGGTTTAGGCAGGAGTCATCCAAGGCTGGCTTAGGTTTATGTGGGTGTTGCACCTTTTGTAGGCCCGCACACCCAGAATGATCGTCAATGCGCCGGGTGCACGGCGGAACGAACTCCTCCACACCCTCCATGGACTCAATCGCCTTGGTATTTCGGGGCTCAATCATCAGGGTTTATTAGCTGCTGGGGCAGTGCGGTGCTGGGGGAGCCCTGAAGTTCTGGGGTCTTTGGGCGCAAGGGTTACGGGGTCGAACTTGGAGGGTCCACATGTGTAGCTGAACCCAGCCTGCAATGAACCTCCCAGTCCGGATGTTGGTGTTTCGGACAGACTGAAGATTTCAGATTCGTGGTGCAACGCCCTCTCGTGTGAACCCCTGATCCCGCTGGAGATTCTTTTCTAGCCCGCGGTAGCCCCCAGTGCCCAGCCTTTCGGCGGGCCGCGGCGTTGCAGACATCGAGCCCCAAGCGGGTGAACCGGGGCTCCGGGCCGCCCAAACCCAGCAAGAATAGATCCGAACCCGAGTCAGAGAAGGAAACCCCTAAACCGCTGAGTCCTTACTAGTGGGGGCTTAGTAGGGCCCCGTGGAGCTCCGGCCTGGGCCCGGGGGACTCAGAGTGCCTGCAACCCCCTGGCAAAATGAGAGGAACCGAGGGTTCTCTCCGGCTCCATTTGGAGGAGGGAAGGCAACAAGTCGGGGGGCCTACTGGAGTTGGAAGGCGTGTATTTCTTGTTTGTATGAAGCGTACATAGACATGAGGAGGAGAGCAAACAATAGGTCTCTTTTCCGCTTCTGTGTTGCCAGTAGCCCTGATTTGATACCATGACCCGTTTGTCAGCAAGGTGAAGACCCAGCTTGTTCATTTGGGTGTAGACGGCTCAAAATCCCCAAATCCCTAAAACACCCGAGACCCGAACCTACACGTTAGGCTGTGTGTTGGCCCAGGGGGTTGGTCCAGGATTCCGGATTTGGGGTCGTAAAGTTCCCGGAAGGGGTGAGTTTGCCCGACTTCCTTCCGATCATGGCGTGAAACGTGCCACGGCGCGGTTTCACAGAGCGTCAAGGAACTGCAGGTCTCCCACACATCCGAGGTCAGGTCCGGGCTGTACATTATAGTGCCGAACACTCTGCGGACCACAGCAGCAAAGCAGGGATCTCGCGACCCAATGCTGCGAAAGATTGCCCCTGCACTACACGGGTTGCAGGGGCTCCAAAGTTGAAAACAGCTCCGGACACAGAGACTTCGAAGTGTGATCGAAGCCGGAGGGGCCGGGTATTAACCTGCTGCACGTGGCCCTTCGGGCGTGGCAGCCGTGAAGTGCAGAGAATGAAGCTATGAGACTTGCCGAACCAGCTGTGTGGTCTTGATGTGGCTGTACGATGAGTTGTTGAAGACTTTCTGCACGCTCCTTGGTTGCCCAACAAATCAAATCAAGGGCGTGTCATCCTCGGGGTTACACGACACGGGAACGAAAGGTTCCCCCTTAAACACATCGAAATCGGCCGAGAGGCTGCAAACCTACAGATTCCGTGTTCGGCTGCAAGAGCTTCAAGACCTCCTCAAAGAGCACCTCGGGCCGAAGGCCCCACTCATGGGCAACTCCGAGCCCCTGAAGCCTACCGTAAACCCTCCCCACGGCATCTCTGGGTTTTCTAAGGATTTTCGTGAGGCCTGGGAAGCGTTAAGGGCTGGCTTTTGCCGGCATGTGATCCTGGTTTCTTGCTGCTCTTGTTGATGGTGGTGTCGGTTGCTGTTGCTGCTGCCATTCTTGGGCGGCGGCTTTGGTGGCGGCTGCCAGGCTCATGTGAGTTCGAGGCTCAAGCTGTCATTGCTGAAGCCTGTTTCAAGAATGACGAAACTGAGGATCGAGGTTTCTGCGCTTTCTGGCTTTCGGTGTCGAAGATGACCCATCAAACCAGCAACCTGTCTTCTACCACACCCACACGGTGTGGGAGTTCTCCGTGTGGCGGAAAGATGCGGAAAGCATGATTCTGCAATTCTTTCGACACTGCTACCTGCGGCTGCAGCTGCTATATTCGTCCTTTGCCACCTTATCACCCAAAACGCTCGAACCAATCTGCAGTAGAACTAGCATAGTCACAGACCCTCAAAGCCCAAACCATTGAACCTCGCCCCCCCCCCCCGCAAACCAAAACAAGCTCGAAAGCTAAACCCTAACACCTAAACCTTAAAGCCTAAACCTTAAAGCCTAAACCCTAAACCCTAAACCCTAAACCCTAAACTCCTCACCCCCAAGCCTTACGGGGGTGCCAGGGCCCTAGCAGCAATCCTTGCAGGCCAGACGCCTCGACCTTGGTCTCCACGCGCCAGATGTCAAGGGCCTTTGCCTTGGTTAGGGTTTAGGGTTTAGGGTTTAGGGTTTCGGGTTTAGGGGTTAGGGTTTAGGGTTTAGGGTTTAGGGCTACACCCTCAACTGCTTCGGGTTCAGGGCTCAATGGGGTGGACGGACTCTTTAGACGTGGTGTTGATCAGCTTGTCAAAAGAAGTTGCAGCCGGTGTTTGGGAGGGATTGCCCCGGCAACAAATATCCCAATCGTTTAGGGTTTAGGGTTTCGGGTCTAGGGTTGCAAACCCTAAACCCTAAACCCTAAACCCTAAACCCCAAACCCCAAACCCCAAACCCCAGGGTTGGGTGGCAGTAGGCAAGTCGCGCTTCCCCGGAGCCGGGCCGCCCCATCAATGAACTCCTTGGACAACATTGCAACTTACGATCGGGTTTAGGGTTTAGGGCTTAGGGTTTAGGGATTAGGGTTTGGGGTTTGGGGTTTAGGGCCCGCTTAGGGTTTAGGGTTTAGGGACTATGGCTTGGAGGGTTCTCGGGGTTTAGGGTTTTGCGCTTAGGGTGGAAGACATGTAGACATTTAGAAAAGCATTGTTGAGACATCTGGCTATTTGGACTTATGTGTAGTATTTCTCAAATTTACGGACAGATGCAAAGAAAATCAGACAAGGCAAGACAAGACCAGGACCAGCACCAGGAACCAGGACCAGGACCAAGACAGTATCCATATCCACAACCATCACCATCAAATAGGAGTGCGATTGCAATGTTTACGCAGAGCTTCTGTTAGGCTTTCGGGCTTGTGGAGTCAGGCTGCTACAGTTTTTGGATGTTTTTGGGGGGTCTGGCTGAACTTTGGCACCGGGAATCCATAAGTGTGATCTCGCCATCACCATTGTCCAGAAACCTGGCCGATGAACGTTGGGGTTGCGGTGACATGGGGGGTTTGCTGGGATGAGCCTTCCTGAATCATGGGGTTTAGGGTAGGGTTCACCCCCCCGAACACCACAAACTCATGTGAGGGGCTCTGGTCTTCGGACTTCGGAGTTCTGGGGTGGGGGAGGCCACTTCCAAGGACAGGGGGCTCAAAGAGGCTCAGCAAGTCGTGGTACTCCAGCTCGAGCTGCCCCATCCAGAATTTCAGCTTGGGAGATTGGACAAGCTTCGAGAACTCCTCAGATCTCAGGCATAGGGTTTAGGGTTTAGGGATCAGGGATTTGGGGTTTAGGGTTAGTGTTTAGGGAGGATATGTGTTCGTGGAGCTCTCCACGCGTCTTTGGGTGCATCCAGGGTTCCGAGAGGTTAATGGCACCATCCCCCGACGCGTCCATTGTCTGGAAGAGCTTCTTCACTTTCCTGGTGTAAGCTTGGATATCCTGCGTCAGGAGATGCTCTTTAGTCAGGAAGGTGTCCTCCCTGAATCTGGGTCCCCCCATACCCCAGACCCCAGAACCCCAAGTTCTGAGTGTGAAAGCCCAACTATGGATATAGGGTTTAGGGTTTAGGGTTTAGGGTTTAGGGTTTAGGGTTCAGGGTTTGTGCAAAGTCACACTCCACCTTCTCCGTTTCCTTGCAACGTGCATGACTCCGAATTTTCCTATAGGACCGACTCGGATCGACGTGGGCCTGTGCAAGCAAAATGTAATAATAAATTATTCTTATGATTACAAAAACAATAATAATAATAATGAATTAAATAAACAAAATAAGAATAATAATAATATTTCTGTATTAATAGTAACAAGAATAATAACAACAAAAAAAGAAGAATAAGAGCAGTATTAAAATAGTCATAGTAAGATGAAGAATGACCTCCACCCTCGGGTTTATGGGCCTAGAGTTCAGGCTGGCCGCGGCCCGCTTGTGGAGTTTCCTTGTTGGGCCGAGCTCCGGCCCGCTTCTCGGATCATGGGAGTTTCATATGCGAGCCCGATCTGTGGCTCCGCCACGAGCTGTCACAACCTATTCCAGGGAACTTTCTGTGGCATCTTGTGGCTGTGAAATGCTGCAAAGGGGCCTGGAACCTTTCTGCGACAGACCTTCTAGCACTGCGAGCGTCAAACGACCAGCGAGCATGCGCATCTCAGGTTTGCACCTCATCTCATGTCGCAGCCTATTCAGGGGAACGTTCTGCCGCACCGTGTGTCTCTCACAGCCTATTCCCAGCGATCTTTCCACGACAGCTCCTTCTCCTTCTGCTTGAAGGCGATCTCCTCATCGGAGGCTGCCGTTCTCATGGTTTGCCTGCGCAAAATCGACTGCTGGTTTGGCTGCGGTTGGGCTGGTAGAGGGTTCGAGGCACTTGCCGCCTTCAGCTTGGGGGCTTTTGAACATTTTCTTGGAAGGGCCTTTGGGGTGTGCAGGGATTTTGGGGTAGCTACGTACCTCCTTCAGGGTTCAGAGACAAGCCTACAGGCTGAGGGTTGAGGCTTTGGGGGTTCCTATTTAAGACTGGGGCCTTGGATGTGTGTAGGCTTAAGGTTCAGGCTTGGGCTCAGGTTCAGGGTCTGAGCTTTCGATGACCTGAAGACCCCAAACTTCCCCAAACCATGATCCCCAACGCTCCACCCAAAGACACCCAAAGCTCTGGAAGTTTGGGGCTTAGGACGGTTTCGGGCTTGGGGTTTGGGAGGCTTTGGGCTTGGGGTTTCGGCATCTAAGGGTTTAGGGCTTTGGGTTTGGGATCGCAAGTCCCTTCAACTCCGAGTCACGCTCAGGAGCCTGGGCCTAAAGCCACCCGGCACAAGCCAAGGTTCCCGAACCACCCAAAACCTCCAGCAAAGCGGCTGCACAAAGACGGCGTTGATGATGTTCAATACCGCAAAGCCTCTGCTCAGGGATCTGGGGTAGGGGTGTTCGGGTGTGTCGGGGGCTCTCGAGCACGCGTGAAGACCAGACAACTCTCCATTCGGCCCAAGATGCGACTCTTCATGCTGACCCTGCAACCCTTAAGCTCTTGTGGCCTGGGGCTTTGAATGACAGCCAAGGCACCGAGAACGCATCGGTACAAGAGAAAGAACAGCGAAAAGCCCTCGCTCACCTCATGCGCCCGAAGGCTCAAGGCTTTCGTTGAGGCTCCTAACATGCCAAAATGCTCAAGAATATTCAAGAATCACGTTTCGTGGACTGGCAGGGCTTCTGGGTTCGGGGATGGGGCTTAGGCTCCCCGAACGACGTTGGGGCTTCAAATCTGTACACCCTGGTCTCTGACTTGACACGGAAGCCTTGCTCACAAGTAGTTGTCGCGACTTTGCAAGGTGAAACCTCAAAACCTTGGGGTCTGACGTGCACTTGGAGTTCACAGGCGGAGAGGTTCGGGAAATGAATCCTTGTTTGGGAGACTTGACACAGGACTTGACATCTTCGCTAAATTGGCGACTCACTCCAAGGGTCGGGGCTGTGACGAAGACGCACAAACGCCCTGAAACATGAACCTTACCTGCCCAGGTCAACGCTAGCATTTCAGGCGCATGATGTGACTCTTAGTATGCCAACATCCTGGTATTCTGAGCCGTTGGGCTCCATTATGCCGTCAACACGGTTGGGCCCACCTAGTAGCGCTGACCATGCGGAGCACAATAAACACTGCAGCTTTGATGAACTACATCGTTCAGGGAGGTTTTGGGGGGGGGGGGGGGGGGGGGGGGGGGGGGCGCCGAAAAAACCTACGAGTAAGACCTTCCTTCTAAATCATGCACAGCTGCACTTTCCATCAACACCCTGCAGGCTGGCCCCCAGTTCGCGAAGAGCACCTGATCACGACATCATCATAGAGACGATGTTGAGTTGCAGCATCGTCAATGTGCGGAGGCTTCAGTACGTGCTGATTGCAAAGTACACATCTTCTGGCCGTTCACGCTGTAGCTGTGACGATTGGAAGGATGTTCCTGCGCGCAGACAACCACGTGGCTTCGCAAGATATCATCCAAGACACTTCAAACATCGTGAGGAAAGTCCTGCCGGGCATGAGGCATGTAAAGCTTGCCCAACTTTAGGGTTTGGGCCTGGGGCCTTAATGTGGCTTCTGAGCGACTGCCACATGTTGTGCTATTCGAAGTGACAGACGTGAGTCCACAAGTTTGGTCACGTTTCTGTTGCGCAACATCCCCGTCACATGAAGGTACTGAAAGACTCTTGACCTCCACCGGGCCAATATCGCTCACAGCTCTGGGTAGCTGAAGTGGGACAACCCGAATTTAAACCCTAAACCCTAAACCCGAGGTGCTGAGAATCGCTAAAACAGGGTTTTGCTGAGTTGGACCGATGCGAACCAAGGGCCTGGTCTAGGTCCCTCGCCGCGCAGAAGGCGGGGGTCTTTAAGGCTTAGGGCTTAGGGCTTGGGGCTTGGGGCTTAGGGCTTAGGGTTTAGGGTTTAGGGTTTAGAGTTTAGAGTTTAGAGTTTAGGGTTTGGGGCTTAGGGTTTAGGGTTTAGGGTTTAGGGTTTGGGGCTTAGGGTTTTGGACCAGGGGTTCACGACGGGGATTGAGCTGCTTATGGTGCTGGTACTGAAGGCCGGCGCGCCGGGCTGCCCCAACAGCTAAGCTCCAGGTGCAAAGGTAGATTGAAGCCCACTGACAGAATGGAGCGCAGGAGGAATCTAGGGTTAAGTCTGTAGTAGTGTTGGAGATACTACGTTCAGCAAGCGGAGACAAGTGCAGAATCATGGCCAGAATGCTCACACAGCAGGTTAGCTTTCAAGCACATGCCCATCCCCCTCTGACCAATCACATGTGCCTGGTCTCCTGAAAATAAGAATGCCCACTTTCTTGGGGGGTATGGGCCCAGATAAGCAAGGCTCCTCTATGTCAGAACAAAGCAGACCCTGTTGCTCTTAGGAGAGACTTCAAGTTGCTAGGTGGCCATGGTATGGGTTTGCCGACTTGAGCCCCTAAACCCTAACCCAAAACCCTAAACCCTAACCCTAGGCCCTAAACCCTAAACCCCAGGCCCTAAACCCTAAACCCCCAACCCTAAACCCTGAACCCTGAACCCTACACTCAGCATCCTGGTAAACGTACCATAGAGGAGAAAGACTTCCTCCCTCACGCTCACGTTGATGGACCTTCGTGAGGCTGATGGGGGGGAGGGGGGGTTGGGTTTCAGGGACTAGGGCTTCAGGGGCTTTCGGATTTTGGGCTTAAGGGTTGTATAGGGCTTTATAGGGCTTCAGGTCGGGGGCTGTCGGCTTCCACATAAACCGTAAAAGCTCTAGTAAGCGTTGAACGCCAAGGTATGAAGTCCATCTGACTTTAGAAAGGCCCCCTACCAACCATAATGCTTAACCCCTCAACTATCTGAACCCTCAAAAATCGCCCAAACTAAACGCTGAATGCCAACCCGACACATTCCGAGACATTGAACAGCTAAACACCCCCCTCCCACCCCCCTGCCTCTCTCCCACGGTGATTCTTCCCCCCACCAAGCAGAACCCACACTCACACACCCCAACGGGTCGCAACAGGCGTTTGAATGGCCATGTAAGAAGCCAACGATGCCCTACGGCTGCGACAAGCCCTTAACCCTAAACTCGCAAACCCTCTTGACCCCAAACCCCCAAACCCTAGACCCCAAATTCTCAACCCAGCGCAGTGGAGGTGGCTCATCAGCGATGAAGTCCAGGCAAAGGGTGCTTATGACCAGGCCCGCCACACACTGCACGAAGGTCAGCCTTGATTTTAGGTGTCGGCGGCTGCATGAGATGACATCAAGGGTTGGGGGGGTGGGGGGTGGGGGGGAGTCTGCAGCCTGGGGGGGAGTTTAGGGAGTTTAGGGGGTTTCGGGCCTTCAGGATGTTTCAAGACTTGCAGCTGGTGTACAACACTCTGATAGACTTGGGGCCTTGTGCCAACAAGCAGGGAACAAGCAGTTTGTTGGAACTGCGTACATCCTGTCCGAAAGCGAAGAGGAAAGAAGTCTTGTGCGATTGCTTTCAGATGAGTCGGCGTGCAGTAAACTCGCGGCGAAGCTTATTACTCTGGTTTAAATACTGAAACACGGTGGGGAGGCGCAGAAGGAGTTTCTGGGCTCGACGGCATGGCCATAGAGTTTGAACTGAAACGAATATAGGGGCCTGAATAATTGGAATAGGGTCTTGGGAGACATACTATAGAATAGTAAAAAGGGACCATAAGGGAATATTATTAGCAAGTATTCCGACTCCTATAGTACATGACCCAAGGAGGCCAGCTTTCAAGTGCTTCAGAAGCGTCGGGAAAGTGGCCAGAAGTCGTTTTTAAGGTTTAGGGTTTAGGGTTTAGGGTTTAGGCTTAAGGGCTGAGGGCCATGTGCCAGTCATACGGTAGCCGACGACTGAGAGACAGCTTTGGGTTCTGATGCTTTGTCCTCATGAACATTCAAGCCAACTCACAGACCTTGAATGAAACCCATGGTGTGACTGGGGGAAGAATAGCAGCAACAAAAAAAGTGATGCCAGCGCCAGCTCAGAAGCAGTAGAAAGCTCCAAAAAAGCATGTTCGCGCTCGACGACAGGCACCTAGCCGACTCGAACTCTTGGGCAACTGTCGTTTCTTGTTGGGGATTGAGGTGTTTAGGGTTGTGGGTCCAAGACCCGGACAAATGTTCTCCTGCTGTCCGAAGTGGTTCTTCGAATGCCCAGATTCCAACCTAGCCCCCCCAGGCGCGAACCCTCATACAGAGTTTAGGGGCTTTGGGGGTTGAAGGGTGACCCTGCTGGGAATTAGGGGCTTTGAGGGTTCAGGGTGACCCCTAATTACAAGGTAAAACCTACCCGAAGGCTACGCATAACCCTACAAAAGCCCGCATGATCACTGGAGAACTCTGAGCTAGGCACTTGACCAGCAACTGAAGAGATGCCAAAACCTTGCAGGCTTCAGGGCATAGGGCTGAGGGAGGGTCGAGGGCTTTAGATTCTTTTGGGGTTTTAGGGGTTGCAAGGGGGGGCTGGGGGGGCGAAACATGTGTTGGGGACACAGCGAGGCAGATGGACGGAATGCCGGATGGGGGGGATGGGCTCAGAATATTGGCTGGAGCGCTGCACTGGCCTAAGTAACGGCCCGAATCCTGAAAGCCATTGAAGCCTTTCAAGAGGCGTCACCAGGGAGAGAGGAGTTGGGTGGTGGTTTTGGGACTTGGTGTTTTCCTCTTCCACGGCGCGCACATGGGCAGATGGAAGGTGTCTTTTGGCTACTTTTACATGTGAGGAAATTGGGCGCTTCGACGTGGAAACGTCTCAAGGCAGGCTGGGTCTCAGCGAACTTGCCGGGACTCCTGTAAACTTCAAAGATGTCAGTCGACAGAAGCGGGCCCTCGGGCTCTCAGGGTGCTGGGTTTTAAGGTTTTTAGAGACATAGAACGAGTTCTACACGAATCGCTCCAGGCAGCGGAGGTCATATGCACCATCCGGAATGCCCGGGCCAGCTTGCCTTGGGTAGTCAAGGATGTTGGGGCTCAGGATCGAGGGTTTATGGGTTTAGGGCTTAAGTTCTGAGACTTCGAGGTCCGAGCAGGCCTCCAGAACCAGGCTTACATGAAGACCTTGCGAAAATCTTCCGGCGGAAGGCCAAACCAAACTTCAACTTTTCGAAGATGTACCCCCAATTAAGTGCATACCGGGGGTCCGATGCGCAGCAGCCTGAACAAGACGGGATTCACCGGCATCGTGGTTGCGTGGACAACCTGGCTTCCACGGTCTTGGGATCCTAAGGGTTTAGGACTCGGGTTTCCTGCTAAAACCTGGGTTCATGGCTTAGGGCTTAAGGTTCTGAGGGTTTGCCGGCTGCCCCGACAGGCAAGGAGCCTCCCGCCCGTCGAGCCTTTGCCTGCACACTAGGCACTTTAGGCTTGCGGCTTCCCGGGATGGGGCTAGGATTTTTTTGAGTCATATGTGCGTCTGGTCTTGTTGGTTGCCAGGTGACTTGGGAGATCTCTCCGCATTTTCGAATACCCAAACTTTGGAAGGACCAATACACGGCTAGGGTTGCTTCCATTCCTCTCAAGGAGCCGCGCCACAAGTGCTGATCCTAAACATTGAACTGCCTCCCTAAACCCCTTAACGATGCCCTGAAACTCTGTTTTCTTCATCCCCACAACCTTCCATGCCAAGAGGCTGAGAGCTCCACTAGGGATGTGATCACCACGCCTACGCACGGGGCTTCTCTTCATTCGCCCCCTGTTTCCCCCCAATGTTCCCCCCGAAACCCTCCCTCTGAGGTCGACCTGTGGAGAAAAAATCCGTTAGGGTTTAGGGTTTAGGGTTTAGGGTTTAGGGTTTAGGGTTTAGGGTTTGGGGTTTGGGGTTTAGGGTTTGGGGTTTGGGGTTTAGGGTTTGGGGTTTAGGGTTTAGGGTTTAGGGTTTAGGGTTTAGGGTTTAGGGTTTAGGGTTTCGGGTTTCGCCCCCATGGGACGCTTTCAGCGTTTTATGGCTCATGGCAAGCTCAGCAAACTCTGTAGGACGAACGTCCGGCACTCTACCGCGCCTAAGTCGACGTAGTTCATCCACTGCTTCCAGAAAGCGCAGCGCAACAGCGATATCCGCAGCAAGACATCAACCAGGAAGATGACGGTGAAGGTTACGTCGCCTGGGCAGCTGGGAGGTGCTTGGGCAGTTTTCAAGTTGGATTCTATATGTACCCCAAGATAACTTACAGCAGCATCTAGAGATAGGATTCCAGTCAAAGGCCCGAGGACACCCTGGGCCCTCTACTCTAGAAATCTTGGCTTTGGAGGCTTCGGGGTTGGGGCGCTTTGGGCATTCGGGTCTTAGGATGATGTTAATGAAGGTGAGGTCGCCCACAGAAAACGCCGTCTTGAACGTCGTCAGAGTTTCTCCATCCAAGAACTCCCCCTCATAGATGCCATACCTTGAGCATGCAGACACACAGAGTGCATCAGACTGGTGCTACGACTCCCCCGCTACCCACCCCATGCCAAAACCCTTGTCCCACAAACTCCTAGAAGCTGCGAACCCCTGAAGCTGCGAATTGCTTGCGATTTGGGGTTTTCGACAGTGTTGCACCAGGCATTGCCCTCTGTTTGAAGCGTTAGAGTCAGAGGCTAGATGCGGCTCATTGAATGCTGATGCTCATACAGCCGTACTCGACCAGTTGAGTGCTTTAGCTGTAACTTGGTTCGGGCTTCGCCGTGTCTCTCTTTGAAGCAGTGCTAAACCAGGCCTTGCATGTTCGAGCACACGCTCTGGACCTCTCCCCAGCCCCGATCTGTTCGACATCTTTTTTGGGCCGTGCAAGAAGACCGGCGCCTGCCGCACTTAAAACCGACTTAAGCCCACCCATGAACCTTCCTCAAAACCCTGCTTTAAACCATGAACCTCCTGAAGGGCAACAAAGAGGCTCGTGCGCTGCGACTGTGCCAGTGAATTGCAAGTCCAAGGCCATCCAAAAGACGTTGATGCCTCGGACGATGGTGAGGGTTGTGGGTACAATGCTTATACTCTTTAATATTTAGTTCAAGGCTCCAGGGTGCAGGATTAAGGGTGAAGCTTCAGGGCTACGGCCTACGGTTGGAGTGGGTGAAAAGTAGTAAAGGCCCTTTTCCCCCTGCGCTCAAGGCTCTCCGCCAAAACAAACACCCTCCAAGGGGGTGGCCCCTTACCTTCTGAAGGCTTTATAACCCAGAAGCGAAGTAACAGAAAAGGGGCATGGTCCCAGTAGCCACCCTGGACGCTGAGCCGCTATACCCCAGACCCAACCGAACCCCAGAAACCCCTCGGCCTCAACCCGTGACCCTAGAACCCCAAAGCCCCCAAAGGGTGAAAAAGGACGTCCAGCTGATCAGCCCCTGGATGCAAGTGCTCCCATGGCATTGAAACATGCGCACCAGAAAAGGGCTCCAGAGCAACCGCGGTGCAAAGGACGACGGCCATGATCATCTCGTACACATTTGACTGGAGGAAATCGCGCGTCCACTCCAGCCGCGACATCCGAGCCAACCTGGCACAGCTCCAAAGAGGCGCCCCTTATTGTTGATACTATGTCTATCAATACAATTATTTATTAGTACACTTGTGTTTGTTACTATAACTAGTAACGCCATTATTAATACTGCTGCTAAGGGGGTTGTTAGGGATCTTCGGGAGCCCCGGAAGACTGAAACTTGCATCCCGAAGCCGAAGACTTCTTGCGAAAAGCCGTAGAAGCTGCTCTCACGGATTAGGGTTTAGGGTTTAGGGTTTAGGGTTTAGGGTTTAGGGTTTAGGGTTTAGGGTTTAGGGTTTAGGGTTTAGGGTTTTAGGGTTTAGGGTTTAGGGTGTAGGATCCTCTCCAAGCCCAGCCACCAATCCTAGATCTAACCTCCAATCACCCTCCCCTCAAATACCCCAAGGGTGTCCAGAAGTCTTTGGCTTGGAATGTCCGGCTTGAAGCACGAGCTAAATCCGATTAGAACCGAATCGCCGAAGCAGATGCGACCCAAAAGATGCCAAACGTACTACTTATGGCTTAGTTGGTTGAAGTTTTGCTTTGATCGCCCTAAGCCCACGTGTCCTCTCACGTGCGTCGCGCGCTTGTCGCGTACTAAAGCGTACTAAAACGTGCTAAAATTTTAAAACCCAACTTAGAAACCCTAAACCCTCAACCCTAGAAGCCCTAAACCGATTCGCCATCTACTCTTCTGCCTTACCCAGGAAGCCTCGGCACAGCACCAACCCTCCCCCAGAAAAACCCGAAACCTCCCGGCCCTAACCCTGGCTACTGCCTCGCTTTGCGCTCCTCAGGCGTTTCACTGGGGACGTAGGTCGACACGCTCCTTCGAGGTGTGGTTGTTTGGGGCTTCGGGCTGCGCGGGCCCTTCTCCCTTCTAGCCAAAGTCGCCGCAAGAGGTAACCGTAATTCGAAAGCCCCCTGTGTAATCCCCATTCAAGACTGGCACTTTCAGGAGAACGCAGGCCACAATCCGGAACATCATAGGCTAAGACCAGCCCCTAGCTGCCTCGCCACTCATTCTCCTTGTTGCCTTATGGGTGTTTCAGGGTGTTTCAAGGCGCATCAGGGCCCCGGAGGGTCAACGCCCCCTCCTCTTTATGAGCTTCTTGAAGTCGGAATCCTGCCACAGGATCAGAGAACCTACACTATTTTGGATACGCTTGAACAGTAGTTGCAACATGTTGCAGCAGATTTATCTGGATCCCACTAAGACTACAAGCAACTTGCGCAGACTTTACCAGGCCGCGCGTGAGTAGGCTCAACGGACTTGGACTCACGGCGGTAGCTCCACATGTGAAAGCACGGAACGCAATCATGTTGCTAGATGAGCATCTCGAATGGTATCCTAAACCCAATGGTGATGGCTTTCCGAGTATCGTGGTCGTAGGAGCTTGAGACGGCACATCTTTGCCCCAACCCCTACCTCTGCAGCTTCATCAAGAGTATGAGGATCTAGAGGTTACCATGTTTGCATGCATGCGCTCTCTATGTGCACCATCACAAGTGGCCCAAGGCTTAGGCCTTAAGTTTACGCGTGCGTGTGTGGACACAGACTTGCATACCCATATGCATACGCGAACAAGTAATGCATCTCTCTGTCTCTCTTCCTCCTTCTTTCTTTCTTTCTTTGGGGCATGGAGAGCAAGCCCTCCGCGCTCTCTCTTCCTCTCTCTCTCTCTCTCTCTCTCTCTCTCTCTCTCTCTTTCCCCGCGGGCTTACGGGACAGGACGAGACCCTTGTGTTGGATGTATCCTGGAAGAGCTTCACCACCGAGTCCTCCTCCTCCTTGATCTCCTGGCAAGCAGGAACCGGAAAACAACCTGCCAACGGCCTAATTACTCCCTACTGGCTGCTATAAGACCGATCCCCAATTAGAAGCACAAGGAGAAATCAATGATGCTTTGATTCTCTGGTGCTGGCGATGGCGCCGATGCCTACGGTGAATAGCGCCGGCACAAACGCAAAAGATGACAAGGTTGCTCTGCACGGGATAAGGTCAGTGGTGCAACATAAGCTTATGCAATCACCCAGGAGTGTGCCTGCGATGCATGCCGACCGTGGGTATGTCCATCTACGTATATCTATTGATTCGGTGGCAGGCGGGGAGGCTTGTAGAGAAGGCGGTCACAACTAACTAGGAGGGAAACTATTGATGATGATGATGATGATGGTGGTGGTGGTGGTGGCGGTGGTAGTGGTAATGATGGTTTTGGTGACGGTGACGCTGCTGCTACGGCTGCTGCTCCTGATGATGATTACTCATTACGACTGTTTTTGACGATGATGATGAGATGATGATGAGGTGGTGATGATGATGAGGAGGAGGAGGAGGGTGATGCTGATGATGGTGACGACGATGCTAAAGACGACGGCAATGGTCATGATGATGATGATGATGATGATGATGATGATGATGATGACGACAACGACGGGTGCACGCCATGGGCCGTTGTTGTATATTCGCTGATGACCCAAGTCGTATGGCAGGGTACACTCTGGCGAGAGCCGAACCGTGGCTTTCAGGCATGTAAGGAATCACGTGTGCATTCAACAAGTGCTGGAGTGGAAGGTGCTACCGGCGTAGCAAAGGCCCTGGTACCTCTCAAACTCATGAACTCAGGGAACCTGCAGCTCTGGAATAGAGGCCACCTGCAACCCAGGTCTGCCTTGTCTAAGACGCATAGGATGTCGTCAGCGGTCACCTCCTTCATATGCCTTGGGTGCTCAGGTGGTGCATTCCGTTTCGTGGGGCGCTCTCTTCCACTCCGAGAAGGAGAGAGAACCTTGCAAAACACGGCAAGCTGAGAAACGCGCAGCTTTCTAAGCGCAAGATGCATGAAGTTGCGCGTGGGTCAGAAGAAATGCTGACATGTCGACACATCATAAAGCATCCCATCATTCGGGCTTGGAGCTGTCAACGAATAAACTGAACATTGCTAATGCATTGTGGTGCTTGATCGAACGATCGTTGAGAGCTTCTGGATCCGGCACTTGAGGTTTCAGAGGTCTAGACACAAAGCTGAGAACTGCACATTGGAACGGCTCCAAAAGAATCAGGCATCCCCATATGCCCTATTGCACCATCAAACCTTTGACTCAATTCTAATAGTTTGGGTTTGACAAAGATAACCTCAGCCCCAAAGACTGGAAAAAAAAAACACATTGCGAGATGCAAACCACTCCACCCAAGACCTGATGCCCGCCCCCTGGAAAGGACCTCCCAGGATTCAAACCGCCTGCCCCCTACAAGCAAAACAAAAACGAAGGTGCCTCCTAAACCCCAAAACCCCAAAACCCAAACCCCAAACCCTAAACCCTAAACCCTTTCGGGACCCGAGGTACTGATGCTTACTGACCATGACCTGGTTGATATCGCTGAAGCCTCGCATTAACTTGCCAGGCGCCGCGTGCTTGGGACCTGGCTTTCAATGCCCCTTGTGGGTTTAGGGTTTAAGGTTTAGGGTTGAGGGATGAGGGTTGAGGGTTTAGGGTCTAGGGTTTAGGTTTTAGGGTTCAGGGTTTAGGGTTTAGGGTTTAGGTTTAGGGTTTAGGGTTTAGGGTGGGGGGGGACACTGGCTTTGGGCTGGGCTAGTATTCCCTCAGCCCCCCAACCAGTGAAACCTTTACGTGCTCCTAGCCAATGAAACTCTGCCCTGGCCACGGGGAGGAGAGGAGGCCTCGAGAGCCCAAAGAAAGCCGAGGATAACAGCTCAGGGCTTTGACAAGCCTCAGGGTTCATGTTGGTTCATGGCTGTGGCTTGTCCTCTTTGACCCACTATGACTCACTACTTTCAGTTTGCCCTTTCCACCTGAAAGGCTCATAACTCCACTGAGCTCTACTAACTCCTCCTCTGGTCCATGAACCCTAAACCCTGGGCCCTCTAAACCCGAAACGCCGAACATCTCCGAGCCGCGAGCCCAAGCCCTTAGCCCTCAACTTGCCCAAGGGCTTCAGGGTTCAATCAAGCTCGCCGCCTTGTAAACCTCACCGCTGCTAGCCCTCACTCATGCGGCTTGGGGTGGCCAGTGTTTAGAGTGGTCAAGTCGTAGGGGCTCAGTGGCTTTCAACATTTCTGGCTTGGGTGTTCCGATTCCAAGGCCTTCAACATTGGTAAGCAAAAGCCGGAGATGCTGTCCGCTTTCAGCATGTCATTCTCGGACTTGACGTGGTGAAGCTCGCCTCCAAGCTTGGAGAGTTGAGCTCAGGATTTGGAGTTTTTGCCGAGCGCTTGGGGCTCCTTTCAGGCTCGTCTCCTCTCAAGCCGAGAACCGGCGTAACATCTTCAAGCAGGAGCATATACGACGCGCAAGGGGCCCGCGCCGAAATTCCCGAAGCATATCCCCTCGCCCTCGCAGGGCTTGCCAAGTCCCAAGCCCCACTTTGGCCCCTCCTTCCATGTCGTCCAGCTTGTCTTGAAGGGCATCCACTTCCTGTGCCCATCTCGAGATGTCCTGGGTTCGGGAGGCGCGTCCCTCACCACTCTGAATGTTTGCCCTAAAACTCCACACAACCCTAACTGAGCCGCTGATTCCGTGCGAACCCCTATAGACAAAGTGAGAGTCCAGGGCATACTGCGAGAGGACTTGGTCGATCAGCGCCTGGAACTCCGCAGACACCAACGCCTTGGCATTTCCAGCATCTCGGGGACACCAAGCCGCAAGAGCGCCGCAGAACGAACCCACGCTCCCCGGTTTAGGGTTCTCAGCAGACCCTTTCTCTGCCCAATCTGTAGGGGCGACCCGCTCTTGGGGCAGCTTCTTCAATGCACATATGTGGAGCTGCTTCTATTCTTAGGTGTGGCTTGGCTTTGGGTTCTGCAAAGCAAGCTCGCGTGGCCTCACCTAGGAAAACATCGGAGCCAAGCCAAGCAGGAAAGAAGGGAGCCAAGCCGAGAGAGACCAGCCAAGCCGCACCTAAGAAAACACATGAAAACACACCTTCCACCCCTGGCCAAGCCAACCTCGAGCAAAGCCAATACCCGAACAACTTCACTTGTAG